CCGACCGCCGTTCAGTATCGCAAGCTCGTCACAGCCAGCCCCGTTCACCTTCACGGCACGAACTTTCACGCACGCAGATAGACAGACAGACAGACAGACAGACAGACAGACAGACAGACAGACAGACCATCCATCCATCCATGCACACATACACACACACACATACCCATATACACATACACACGTACACGCAAACATACATGCATACATACATACGTACGTACGTACGTACGTACGTACGTACGTACCTACGTACATAGGTACATACATACGTACATGCGCACATACATACGTACATATATACATGCATGCATACATACATACGTGCATACACACCGAATTTCACAATATGTGTTGTATACATACACATATGGATAGTTAGATAGGGAGAGAAAGAGAATGACAGAGACAGAGGGAGAGAGAAAGAGAGCGAGAGAGCGAGAGATAAGATAGGTATATACATACCTAGAGACAACATGTATGAGTTATTTAAAAAGAAAAACACAGAAGGAAGGATGGACAACGGTGACTGTCCCAAAGCTGGAAACTTGTTACATTTTGTTGGCACTGTACCCTCAAGGGCAGTCATACAGCAGGGAATGCCAGCCCTAAACCCGCTTGGCGCTTCCAACTTGACAGGATTCACTGCAGAGTGTAAGACCCTGCCTCAAGGGTATAAAGGACCGCAGCGCTCAGGCCTACAAGAAGGGCGCCCAAAGGCTCGGATATTCGACCAAGACAATGCGCCCCGGCCTGCCAGGAGGAGGGTTAAGTTTTGCAGGTTATGGGTATACGTTTGTTTTTGAATTTTCTGGGGGTTTAGTTGCATGTAAGGTTCAGGGGGGCAGAAGTTCGAGGTCAACAGGATTAACTTTAGGCTTTGGGTTTTCGAGTTGGGGAATTGGGTGGTTTTGGCATTTTTGCAGACTGAGTGAATGTGTATGTTCGACTGGCAGGGCCTGTCAAGACAATGTCGCAGGCGAGACAAGCTAGAGCCTTGGTCAATCAGGAACTAAGGAGGCAAGCAAACCGAAGCTTTCCGGTGGGATAGCCCTCACGAGAGTGTAACGGGATTTGGCAACTTTGCGGTTGTTGCTTATGTCCGGTTGAGAGTGTCAGGGATTGTGATGCTTAACGATGGTTTAGGAATCGGGGAGTTGTCGGGGTTTGGGTGGGGTTCAGGGTTTAATTTCGGGGCTAGGAGGTTGGGGGTGATATTACGGCGTCGCATCGTTCGATATTCGCTATCTGCCTGTGGATGAATCGACTGTGCATGTGTCTTCCGGTTTCATCCGGCCATGGGACTTTAGGATGACAGGGGTCTCAACCCCTAAAAATTTACCCCCAACTCCGATTGAACTTTGGTTGAAACTGTTTCGGAATGCATCGTGAGGACAACAGCAATGCAAGTGAACATGACACCAATACAGAGGTCGGCATGATTAGCCACGGTCTTCCTGAGTGTTCCTTAGTATCACTTCCAAGGCCCCTTATCTCCCGAATATTCTTGGAACTCCGTATGGGTAGTTCTCTAAATTAGGGTCCCTTTCTAGGTCCCCCAAAGAATACGGCACCCTTATAAAAAGGATCCCAAAGGGGACCCTAATTTAGAGAACTACCCGTATAAACACTTGCAATGTTCGACTTGCAAAGTGTCGGGCAACCCAGCACACGTGGGCACCTTGGGGCCGGGGTCGCATTGGTTCGTCGAGACTTGGACGAAGTAGTCGGTCCGCACCCTAAACCCCCCTACACCCTAAACTCATGAATGAATTGTATCATGCCGGCCTGCGACTCTGGAAGCTCGAAACCCTAAACCCTAAAGCTTAGACCCCAACACCCAAGTCCAAAAACTGAAATCTACATCTCCAACACTGCCAGGATTTTGGGTTGGAGGTTGTAGTGGGTCCAGGGTTTCGGGTATAGGATTTAGGGTTTAGGAATAGCCAATCTCAATGCTATACTGGCTTGCGGACAACTAAACAGTGGAGAAGCAATGGTATAGCCCAGAAAGCTTTAACTAACTGTTTCAACCAGCTTCCATGATAGTTTAAGCGGGCTAAGCACCCCATCCCCCAAACCCTAATGAGTACTTCTCAAACTTCAGCCCGGGAGGACTTAAACCCCAAACCTGAACCCCAGATCGTTCAAGCCGTCCTCCAGAGCCCGCAGAACGGAGTCGCCGAGGCATCCGGTCGTCTTAGCGCTCTTTGCATCTCTTCACACCAACGACCTCTTAGACCTGAAAGCTCGACAGGAGACCAGGGTCGCATGGCCTTGCGTGTTTTTTTTGCGTTTTTTATATATTACGCATGCAATTGTGTGTTTTTGCATCCACGCAGGCATGCCTGACGATACATATCTTGCATGCAGGAATCCTCTGCGCCGCGACGCGTGTTTAGTAATGTGCTTATGCTTGGGCAGGAGGACATCCAGCTGAACGACCCGCAGGCCCCGCCGTCTGCAATTATGCCTTCATACCACGGGTTGTATAAGTGTTCCTGACCTGCAGCGACAGCATTGCACAGCATAAGTCAAAGCCTCCTTCTTCCATTTCACACGGTTGCAGCCGAAAGGTTTTGGTTTCCCTCCTGAAAACCGTAAAACCCAACCGGGTGATCATCGATTTGGGTTTTCAGGAGGAGGAGCTTGCAAAACGGATCCCTTTCCTTTTTAAAACAGTTTTCCCCTGGCCAACAGCTAGCACTGCAGGAAGCGGAGACGAAGATTCCCGACTACGTGGCCGTGACTTGGTCGTCCAATTGGCGGTATGGCCTTCTTATCTACAGGAAAGTAGACGAAGCACACTCAACTTCGGCATGCTCTCCTTCCCTAAACCCTAAGACCTGCAACCCTGCAGGGCCGCCGAGTCGCAAAGCTTGGTGAAACTCATGCTAGCAGCTCCTGGAATTCGAAGTGCAAAGTCTTGAGACCGTGAAGCTTTAGGGATTGCCTAAACCCTCGAAAAGTAAAGCTTTAGGGATTGCGGGGCCAGCACCTAAAAGAAGCTATTCGTCTACATACTTTTGGGCTCCAGGTAGGATTTGCGACTCTTTGGGTTGAAGGCTTCGGCTCGCAGGTTCACCGGCAGAGAAAGTCATGCTCCTAAACTGAGGGACCGACATACTCCTCTCCCGTGCATGAAGACATGAAAAGAGGTTGTCTGAGCGGGCAGCATAGCTTATCCTAAACTCAGATTTGTTGATTCTTGTGGTCGAGGGCTTAGGGTTTACTTAACCCAGAATCTGGGTCTTGTGACTGGTTTAGTGTAGGACAGCTACTTGGCAGCTTCGGGCAACTCGCCTTTCCGAGACTTTACTCTCTCCTTCGGAATCATCTACCTCTCAGTACGAACTTGAAATGTGCGTTCCCCTAAGCCCAAGTTCTATAGCTATTGTAGTTCACAAAGCCTACAGTTCTTGCGTACTTGGGCCTGGACGAGTATGGAGTAGAGTAGGCCTTTGATGCAGGACTTTAAGCCCGTAAACTCCGAATGCCCTTGCCCGCTATCTTTAACCCATAAACACCATAAACCCTAAACCCCAAACCCTAAACCCTAAACCGTACCGTAAAACTTCATAAGCCCTAAAGCCAAATCCCAATTTCTTATCTGGGATGTGCATTCCATCGACCCGAAGCCGGACCGAATACATGCATCCAAGAACAGAACAACCTTAAGAACTAAATGAACCCTAAAAGGGTTTAAGGTTCATAAACCATATAGGGATTCATAGTATAAGGCTATAGGGCCCCCACCTTTAAGGGCCATTTCGTCCTTGAACAACCTTGACAGGAGTATTCACACCAGTATTTCTGATGGCAATAGCAGTACTTGCGCAAGAACTTAGTAGCTGAATGGGTACACTTTACACTTTTTTTTGGGGTAATATGATCCCTTATAGAACTGAAAGAGTGCACTTTTTTGGACTTGTGCATTCAGCAACTAAGACCAAAGCGCAGTCGCAAGTCAGCGTCGGGCCCATGGCAAGCGGAAGATTCAGGATAAATTGGCCCCGGACCCTCCAACGCAATTCCTGAACTCGAGGAGGGGTTCATAGGGCTCTAGGGCTTTATGGTTTAGGGTTTTAGGGCTTTAGGGCTTTAGGGGTTTAGGGTTTTAGGGTTTTAGGGTTTAGGCTTTTAGGGTTTAGGTGTGGGGTTTTAGGGTGTTAGGGTTTTAGGGCGTGCAAGGATACCTGCACTTGCAGCGTCAGGAGACTTGAAAGGGTGACTGCTTTGTGACTTCGTTTGATGCAGTATTGTGTGAAATCACGCAGTGCTGCTTCTCAGCATTTCCCAGCTGATCGGCAGAGTCTGGGTTCAAAAAAGGGTTTAGGGTTTTAGGATGGGCCGTACGGAACAATCAGACCCGGCGCTTGAGGTGATGTTGCGGTCTTTGACAGTCTTCCTCGGTATGATTCAGGACCGGGCTGGTCCGTCTGAGAGGCCCCTGTATAAAGAGCCAAGCAGATCGGTCAAGGTAATGACTTCAAGGGGTTCCAAGCAACTTCAAGTTTGGGGTGTGAGGTCATACTCCTGAAAAGGGCAAGCCTATTCACGACTCCTCATGGGCACCCTTATCCTAGGGCCTGTGAGGGGAGGGAGTTTTTTAATCCCACATTATCTTTGTCATAGGTGGGGAACATCTGCATTTTCCATATTCCATGGGTCCATGGGTACTTAACCCTAATAAGGTTTCAGAATAGACATTCTGATTTTTCTTCCTATCCCAACCAGAAAGTCCGTTCCGAAACTGAGCACTGGGCAGGACATGGTGTCCGAAAACCGGCCACCCTTCGTCCCGATCATGGTTACCGAGTTCCTCTTCGACACGTCGCCAGATGAGATGCAACCTTGCCGGGTGTTGCGATGTTCGGTGAGCCTGAGTTTCGGGAAGACTCGCGTAGGACCTTCTGAATTTAGTCTAGTTTGGTCATCCAGGTCAACCATATGCCCGAATCTTGCACGGTAGAATGAGACAAACTACGTATTGGGCTTCGGCTCTCTGGGTATACAACACAGCAGAGAGCACGTTTGTGTCGGTGTTCCTCCAGCATGTTCCGCACGGCCCTTCCGGCCCCCAACACCGAAAGAGTCAATTCCGAATCCTGACAGTTTAGGGGTTGAGGGTTTAGGGTCAGGGTCCGACGACTGCCAGGTTTACATTCTGGCATATCTTTGCGGAGCGATTTCTCCGGTCTGCGAAGGGATCCTTGGCGGGTCTTTGTGACTTTGTGTGTAGGTTTCTGGGTCTATGGATTTAGACAGGATAAGCTAGTACCATTTGGAGCCCCGAGTTCTTGCGGATGTAAAGTTTAACGTTATCACGCGCGCCACTGTTTGTGTAACTTCCTTGCCTTGTCCCCTTGGTGCTCCGCTGCGGTTCGTAGGTCCCGTAATTAGCCGATGAGGACAGACGTGCACGGACGAAGACATCGATGCCACCGTGGACGAGGTACTGAGCGAGGTGAATTTTGACGAAGATGAAGACGATGTCAACCACTGGATTTGGTAGCCGCCGTGTGGTGCTGGTGGTGCTTTTGTAGCTTAGGGGCGCAAAGGCCGTCGTCGATAGTAGTAGCAGTAGTAGTTGTAGTCGTCGTCGTCGTCGTCGTCGTCGTAGTCGTAGTCGTAGTCGAAGTAGAAGTCGAGGTAGAAGTAGAAGTAGAAGTAGAAATAGAAATAGAAGTAGAAAAAGTAGTAGTAGTATTATTATTAGTAGTAGTAGCAATAGTTGTTGTAGTCGTCGTAGTAGTAGTCGTAGTAGAAGTAGAAGAAGAAGTAGCAGTAGCACAAGCAGTAGCAGTAGCAGTAAAGTAGCAGTAGCGATAGTAGTAGTAGTAGTAGTAGTAGTAGTAGTAGTAGCAGTAGTAGTAGTAGTAGTAGCAGCACAAGCAGTAGCACAAGCAGTAGCAGTAGCAGTAAAGTAGCAGCAGCGATAGTAGTAGTAGTAGTAGTAGTAGCAGTAGCACAAGCAGTAGCACAAGCAGTAGCAGTAGCAGTAAAGTAGCAGGAGCGATAGTAGTAGTAGTAGTAGTAGCAGCAGTAGTAGTAGTAGTAGTAGTAGTAATAGTAGTAGTAGCGATAGTAGTAGTAGTAGTAGTAGTAGTAGCAGTAATAGTAGCAGTAGTAGTAGTAGTAGTAGTAGTAGCAGTAGTAGCAGAAGTAGCAGTAGCAGTAGTAGCAGTAGTAGCAGTAGTAGCAGTAGTAGTAGTAGTAGTAGTAGTAGAAGTAGCACAAGCAGTAGCAGTAGCAATAGTAGTAGTAGTAGTAGTAGTAGTAGTAGTAGAAGTAGTAGTAGTAGAAGTAGCAGTAGCACAAGCAGTAGCAGTAGCAGTAAAGTAGCAGTAGCGATAGTAGTAGTAGTAGTAGTAGTAGTAGTCATTATTATTGTTGTTATTATTATTAGTTGTAGCAGTAGTAGTCGTCGTCGTCGTCGTAGTCGTAGTCGTAGTCGTCGTCGTCGTAGTCGTAGTCGTAGTCGTAGTCGTTGTCGTTGTCGTTGTCGTAGTCGTAGTCGTAGTCGTAGTCGTAGTCGTAGTGGTAGTAGTAGCAGCAGCAGCAGTAGTAGTAGTTGTTGTTGTGGTAGTAGTGGTAGTGGTAGTGGTAGTAGGATTAGGAGTTGGAGTGAAGTGGGAGTGGGAGTGGGAGTAGGAGTAGGAGTAGGAGGAGGGGGAGGTGGTGATCGTGGTAGGTGGTGGTCACACTTGTGGTCCTCGTCGTCGTGTTCGTCGTCTTCGTCGACCTAGCAGTGGTCTCGTGGTCGGGGGTCGTGGTCCTGGAGGTGGTGGTAGTAGTAGTAGTAGTAGTAGCAGTAGTAGTCGTCGTCGTTGTCGTCGTCGTCATAGTCGTGGTGCTGGTGGCACTAGCAAGGTGATGAAGATAAAGCTAACCATGTTGAGCCGGATGTGAATACTGCAGCAGCTGGCTTCAGGCACCGAAGTCGTCAAGCAGAATGGGTTCTTTTGCAACTTGGCTGGTACCAGCTCGAAGCAAGAGGTGCAGGCGCCTTGCACTGGTTCGTTCAGGTTGAAGGGTTGAGGGATTCAACGAAGTTTGGCTTTCAGGTTTAGGCCGGGGACGCAGGAAGTTCTTGTTCCGTGCCGAACCGCGGGAAACACTTCATCCTAGCATCACAGCTGCTGGCTGCTAGCTTTTGAGTGAGAGAGCGAGAGCGCGAGAGAGAGAGAGAGAGAGAGCTTAGAGAGAGATTGAGAGACGAGGCAGGGCTAAGCAGAAATTTCAAGGTCTGAACTCTCCACTCCGAAGCCCAAACCCTCAAATCCCGTCCTGGGCCTTTGCCCCAAGTCCAAAGCCATGACCCCCTCGACCCTGAACCCTAAACTTTGGACCCCTAGCCCTGAAACCGAAGCCCTGCACGGGCAAAGGTAGCGTATTCCGCAGAATGCAGAAGTGAGGGTGTGAAGCTTCGCTCCTACAGCGGGGGCTGTGGGCTGAGCCCTGCAACGTCCCACCGAGCGGCATAAAACCTGATTTGTTTGTTTGACTTGGGGTCGCAGAGCTTAGAGTCCTCTGAATTAAGAAGTCTTTCAATTCGCACGACGGACTGGCAGGCTCTGGATCTTAGCGCTCCGATTTCGGAATTGAAGGGTTTGGGCATGTTTTGGAGGTTGGGTCACCCTCAGTGAGAGCCGTCGTGTGGCCGGTGCGAACATACAGCTCTTCAGTGGAACGAGGACCATGCCACTTCGTCCCAAAGATCATGGTGCTGTCGGCAGTCAGTCATGCCGTCAGTGATTCAGTCATTCTTTCATTCATTCTTCCCTTTCTTCATTCAACTGACTCATTAATCCAGCCATCCAGCCATCCAGCCATCCGTCCATCCGTCCATCCGTCCATCCATGCATCAACGCATGCATTCTTTTTCATTCATTCATTCATTCCTTCATTCCTTCGTTCATTCATTCATTAATTCATTCATTCATGCATTCATTCATGCATGCATGCATGCATCCATTCTTCATCCATTCTTGCGTGCGTGCTTGCTTGCTTGCTTGCTTGCTTGCTTGCTTGCTTGCTTTCCAAGACTCGTTCGTTCATTCTGACAACAACTCTTTGATCCCGTCGATAATTCATTCATTCGTTCGCACCTTCGTTCATTGCCGCATTCACGCACTCACTCTACTACTGGGATTGGCAGCATTCCTGTCTAGGCCTTCTTTTCCATCATGGCTCAGAACCATGGTGCAAACTACTTACTACTTGCTCCCCAGGCCTTGGTACCTGGGCGGGGTTTAACGCACCTCACCTGAGCAAAATACTACAGCACAGCATTTCACAGCTGGGCTTTCATGGGATAGGCTTCGCCTCTGGTGATGATGGTGATTCCACCCACCTTCCCCAACCATCTCCAAATTATAACTTCGACACCAGAGTGGAGCTGTACATCAACCCGTTTCTCCAAGATACTCTGACATCAAACTCTTGATGAAAAGCTTGATCCAGCAGGTACCGAACTTTATGTTCGCAAAAATGTTTTACAGTTCTGCCGAATCTAGCGAATTTCCATATAGGGTGCCACGAAAGTGTTAACCACAACACCTTTGTAGTGCAGTTTCCAATCTTCCGCGGGATACACTG